CCCCAAAACCCCAAAACCCCAAAACCCCAAAACCCCTTGAAGCCAGGATGATATTGATAAATTTTATTTAAGAAAATATTATAAATGTCTGTTTCTTACGAAGGAGAAGAAAGCAAGATTCCATTCGATTTAGACGACATGGTCTCCATCAATCTCATGACACTCAAAAATGTGGTCACTTTTATCATGAATAAAGTAGCAAAAGGTTCAAGGATCAATCAAGAGCTGGTAATCTCTAACCAAGAAATGAAGATGAAAATCTCTGAGCTTGAGAAAGCTGTTCTTACACATAAGACTGACACAGATATCGCTCTGAATCAGGTGAAAGCATTCATGGATGAGCAAAAGACTCTCGGAGACAAGCACGCTTCAGAGATGCACGAAAACAGCAAAAAGATGGCCAAGGTTAGCGAGTCCGTGAGTGACTTCGAGTCTAAGATCCTCCTGCTAGGGGCTGGATCTGGAGGTGGAGCCGATATGAAAGTATTTGAAATTATGATCCACAAAATTAGAAAAGAGTTCAAGAATAGGTTTATCACCTTCGATGAACTTGAAGAGACTGAAAAATAGCATCATGAAGGAAGTTGACAAATGCAAAGAACAAGAAAACTTGATCAACGAAAATATTGCAAAGCTCGATCTTTTGAGGAAAGCTGTTGAAAGTTCTGTAGACAAAAAGGATTTTAAGTACGAAGTTGACAGACTCAGCTCAAAGATTGGGGGCATCGGATTAAAATGAGGAGCAGGCCTACCAGCGATACAAAATAATAATGAGGCCCAGCCTGAGTTTGATCCTGAGTTAATTGGACCTCTAGAAGATAAAATCTTCAACTTAGAAGAAAGACTCAATGCTCTGAGGATACAGTCGAAGTCTTCTGAAGAGAAACTTAAGCTTGAATGAAGAGATCTCAAACTCAACAAGTGAGATTACTCAACCGGAAAGGAGCTCAAGCAGGCTGTTGAAAAGCTTCAGTCTAAAATTGAGGATGTTGATAAATTACTTAAAAACTCTGTCAGTAAGACAGAAGACGAAATTGAGGCTCTGATAATTGAGAGAATAAAGCCCATTGAAGAAGACAGCAAAGACCATGGAGATATTATTCTCCAAATCACTCAGAGGATACAGAGGATCGAAGTCAAGATAGAGAACATCAGCAAAATCACTAGTGCCCAAAAGAGTAAGGGTGATAGAGTTGATGTTGAGAAGGTGAATAACATTGAACACAGCATCAGAAGCCTTGTTAAAGACATTGAAGCCATCAGAAGAAACCACAGTAAGAAAGTCGAAGAAATCATGAAGAGCATCTACTTCAAATGTGACAAGTCTGAAGTAGCCAGCATTGAGTCTAAGCTGTTTGACAACCTGGGAGACTTAGTCCAGTCGATGTACAATAAGTTTAGTGACAAAGCAGAGACAAATGAGAATATGCAGATGTTGGATAAGCAGCTAAAGAACTTATTCGAAGTGGTCATGAGCAAGAAATAACCAAGTAGAGAATGAAGCAAAACTTACAGATGATGACGAAGCAATGCTATCAAGAAAGCCTTTAGGAGGGATGTCATGTGCATCATGCTCTAAGGAACTCGTAAATTTATGCAATGTCCAGCAGACCGAATATTTTTCATGGAATAAATTACCTCTTAGAGACCCAAGTGACAGAATGACAAAAGTAGGCCAAGGATTCTCGAAGATGCTATCATCAATGACACAGAAGAGCCAGCTGTCGAAGGTTGACAAAGCTGGAGAGAGTAAAGAGTTTTTGGCAAAGACCGACTTGAAGAGAGGTGAAGAAGCAACAGAAAGCATTCATGTGCCAACTCAAGCCGAACAGAAGAGCAGAAATAAGCACATGTCTCCTTTCAGATCAACTGAAATAGCTCAAAGAACCGCAAGAGAAAGAAAAGTCAAGGGTCTTGACAAAGTAGGGCCCCTCAGAAAAGCGAAAGATGACACAAGCAGCCATCTGCCAGAGATAATGAAAGCAAGTATAACGGAGAATAATTAGTGAGAATAATTTCAATTCATATTCCTCACTCTGGGGTTTTGGGGTTTTGGGGTTTTGGGGTTTTGGGGGTTTTGGGGTTTTGGGG